CGTATATGTCAAACTGGAGAACGGGGTTATACTACGTTGCAGCGTGTTCAAGAAGGAAAATCATAGGTAATGCTTCAATTATCAGATCAGATCATTACCTTATCGAAACTCACAGATGAAGTCCATGCAAAGGTGCTAGAAAGGAGGTGCCGCGGAATAACTGACTCCAAAATACAAGAAGAGCAGCGTGTCATCCAGTCCAGCCGCTGCACATCCACCCAGATATTCGCCTTACGCCAGATTGTCAAGAAATCGTGGGAGTTCGCTCATCCGGTTAATATGTAGTTTTTGGGCCTAGAGACGGCCTTTGACGTAATCCCGCGTAACAATCTATGGACGTGCCTGAGAACACGTGGGAATGATGGCAAGTTGCTATGGATCCTCCAGTCACTGTATGCTGAGAGTAGGTGCTGTGTCATTGTAAATGGCGTTAAGTCGAAGCCTTTGAGCGTTGGCACTGGTCACCACGAAAGCTACGTCCTGTCCTCTCTCTTGTTTAAGTTGTACATGAATAGAATACTCAAGGGCAGCCAAGGCGATGACTGTATTGATGTAAGAGGCGTGGAGACAAGGAGGTTAATGCTTGCAGACAAAATGTTCTAGTTGCATCTTCTGAAACTTATCGACAGCGTTCTCTGGACGGGTTTGCAGCAGAGGCGACATGGTCGCTCTGTATTTGAACTTATTTAAAGCGAAGAGATTGGTGCTTTCTCGTTTTCCACTCCGTTGACCTCTTCAGATAAACGGAGAAATAGTGGACGAGGTGGAGGAATTCAAGTACCTCGGGGTCGTAATTATTGGTGATGGAAAATGGTACGAAGAGATTGACCGGCGTATTGGAATAGTCAGTGGCGTTCTGCATGAAGTAGTACAAACAGTTGTGACTGAAGGAGGGCTGAGTCTAAAAACTAAAGTCTCGGTATTCAAGTCGATTTTTATCTCCATGTCTAACTATGGTAATTAGTCATGATTAGCGCCTGAATGGCTCTGATTCCTGATAGGTGTGGCTGAAACGGGATTTCTTAGACGAGTCGCTGGCCTACGCATCTCGATATGGTCCGGAATACCAGAATCCGGGAGAGCCTTGGTATACAGCCTCTTCCTCCATAGATCTAGAAGTCACAATTGGGATGGTTTGGACACGTGCTGCAAATGCCTCCAAACGGGATGGCGAAGCAACGACTGTTTGCCCATCCGATTGGCAGA